ATAACATTGTGTACAAAATTACCTTCAGACAATGTGCATTAGGTGCATATGAATCATACATGATTTTCGTATACAGAAATACAGGTATTCCAAAACATGAGAGGAAAAAAAAACCCCAAAATTTTAAATACTTATCATCCCAACTGTTTTGGGTAAGGAATACACAAGTTTTACTAGCTTTTGTATGTGGATCAACACAGTTGCCTTTGGAGGCATGGCTAGAAAGTTTATGAATTACTACTACATCACTGGATACAAAATTTGTGCACTATGCTCTGTCTAGTTGGAGATGTCAGGGAATGAATACACAAGTTTGTGTACAGAAGACACATATTCTACAACCTGCTTGTGGCCCTCCTATCCAGCAGATGGAAATTGCAGAGTTGTACACCTTATTGGTAGTCCCTGTCCCTTCTGTCTAGTTGAAATTTCCTCTGTGAATGTTGTCACTGCCCAAACTCAGAAAAACTGTACCGATGTGATTTTCTGGCTAGCGATAGCATCCTGTCACGTAGACAAGTCCAAATTGCAGCACTAAAAACTTCCTGTGAAAAGGCCAAGATAAAGGAGTTGTAATGGCTTTTTCAGAAAGGAGAAAGGCAACAAGCAAACAAGGAAGTAAAGCGACACTATTGTCCTTTCCTGCTCCTCTGGAGAAGAAAACATCCTCTTCTTTCAAATGCTGACAATTGGGATTAAAGGACACAGCCTTATACTGAGACCAGAGCCAGGGGAAATTTAATATTTTAACTACTGTTTCCCCTAACAAGCTGGGTCAGTTGCCTCTGATTTTGGCCCCATCTACACTGACCATTTAATGCAGTTTCAAACAGATACTGAAGAAAGTTTTTCTACTGTGCAGATAATTCAATTGGAAATCCTGGAACCAGTTTTATGCCCTGATGGTGATTACACAAACCACAGCACATTGAGGTGTTTTGGGGTTTTTTTGGCAAATGTTTGTAGGCATTCACTGTCTAGCCACTGTGTGTGATGGTCCCAATCTCTGTCATTGACTTCCCGTGTGTCTGAAGTAATGCCTCCATCAACTCTGGAAAAATTCACTTTGCTACAAGCCCCAGAATCCACTCAGCTACACAACTGATTGAATTCTGGGAATTGTAATCCACAAAGTTACTTTCCCAGGCTCAGTGACAATTTATAATATGGGTTGCTGTGAGTAATTCCAGCCCAGTGATTCTGGCCATGAAAGCCTTTGGCAACTCATTTGGTCACTTTAGGTAGGTCATTCCTTCTCAACCCAAGAGGAAAGCAATGGCAAGCCTCTTTTGAATAAATCTTGTTTTATTTATTTATCGTATCATGAGCAAACCAATGTATTTGAGAAAACACAAAGTTTAAAAACTTGACACTTTTATTAAATGTCCTTTGACCAACAGCTGGCCACTTGGAGTGTCTCTGGTGTTGCTATAAGAAGGTCCTCCATTGTGCATATGGAAGGCTCAGATTGCATTATAGTAGGTGGTCTGTGGTTTGCTCTTCTCCACACTCACATGTTGTGGATTCCACTTTGTAGCCCCATTTCTTAAGGTTGGCTCTGCATCTTGTGGTGCCAGAGCACAGTCTGTTCAGCACCTTCCAAGTTGCCCAGTCTTCTGTGTGCCCAGGAGGGAGTCTCTCATTTGGTATCAGCCATAGATTAAGGTTCTTGGTTTTTAGCCTGCCACTTTTGGACTCTCACTTGCTCTGGTGTTCCTGCGAATGTCTCTGTAGATCTTAGAAAACTATTTCTTGATTTAAGGCATTGGCATGCTGGCTGATATCCAAACAGGGGATGGGCCAGAGATGTAAATCTTATAAAATAAATCTTGTAAAAATACTCTATAACAGGTGTGCCATAAATCTGGGTCAACTGGAAGGACATTACATCATAACAAATAGAAGGGGTACAATTTTTACAACAGCTTCTACCTCAGGTGAGGAGGAAATCACTCCCAAATGTCTTTAGACTGAAACTCCCATTATTCCCGGCCTAGTTGAGGCAGAGTAAGTGAAGATGGGAATTGCAGTCCAAAAACTCATACAGGGCCATGCACTCTTTTTTCCCTACTGTCACAACTTGATGGTGATCTTGCAGCCTACAAAGAATAATTAGAGATTAGGAAATGAATTTTGCATACTGTTTCCATTCTTCGAAGATGTCTGGTAGCCCTCGTTTGACTTATCTTTCTGGATATTCAGCAGATGTCCAGGGAACAAACATACGGCTTGCTCCGGAGTCTTTCTCGAGCAGATTGCGAAGAGTTTGCCCACTTTACTAATAAGAGGAAATGTCAGGGAAGAGACTCGTGCGTACTGAAGAGAGATCCAGATGCTAAATAAATGTGAACAACTGTTAGGAGGAGGAATGATGACGCACTGCAGGCAGTTGGAACTTTTTGCCATGGATTTGTGCTAGATCAGGCTCAAGGGAGTCCGATTGATACAGGCTTTTCACTCAGGTTTTCCATGTGCATATATTAGCAAGAATATCAGAAGCTGTATATAATCTTCGGCTAGACTGGAACGTCATGTTTCATTATTTTCTAAACAGTGCCACCTCGTGGGGAGTTTTCTTCAAAATGGTTGTCCTTCTCCCCAATGTGAAAAAAGTACCATGGAGGAGAAGGTGTTTCACAATAGTTCGTTGGAGATAAAGGGATAATAACATTGATAACAATGGGTTTAGTTTCCTATGGTTAATGCTACAGCTACATAAAGCAGGATCTGGTGCAGTTGCATTTATCTGATTTCCTATACAATATATCTAGTGCTTTAGGCAGCATTGTGAAGAAAATCAGGATATAAATGTAAATAATGATAACCCACTTGCCTAGTTTCCAAAATGCTGCACAATCTCTGAGGATGCCTGCCATAGATGTGGGTGAAACGTAAGGGGAGAATGCTTCTAGAACATGGCCATACAGCCTGGAAAACTCACAGCATTTATAGGTTGAGGTGTTGTAATGCTGACGAGCATAAAGAAATGCCAAATCCAATGCCAGTGATGCCAATCAAAGAAGGCAGCCCGAATTCATCCAATGGCTGGGAAAATGATGAAAAAGATATCAGCTGCGTATCTTTTTCTCTCACCTCCTCATTCTTTTCCCCCCCTTTTGTATCAAGTCTATGAGATTGTGAGCCTGCCAGCAGAAAGATAACTAAGCTGAAAAGGCTGGCTGGCTTGCTTTCTCTTTCATCCCTTCCTTCCTTTTCTCTCAATTCCTTTTTTTTTTTGCTCTTTTGCATCCTGTCTTACATTGTATCAGATCATGCATTTTTTTTATTGTGTCAGAAGCAACTTGAGAAACTGCAAGTTGCTTCTGGTGTGAACAAATTGGCCGTTGTCCAGGGGATGCCTGGGTGTATTACCCTCCTGTGGGAAGCTTCTCTCATGTCCTCGCATGGGAAGCTGAAGCTGACAGATGGGAGCTCACCCCATCTCACAGATTCAAATCACCAACCTTCAGGTCAGCAGTTCAGACAGCACAAGGGTTTAACTCATTATATCACCATCATGGCACAGGTCATGCAGCAGGATGTGAGTTTGCAGGAAGGGATGGAATCTGAAGATCCCTATTAATGAAAACATGAAAGAAATGTAGGTATGGATAATTTAATATTGATGATAACCATGATGATGACATAACTTTTGGTCTTGATTTTCTTCCACATAGGTGATCAAGTGCCAGAATAGTAGGTTCAGATGGATATATATACCATTGATCTTTCTAAAGAGGTCTGTATGTTTTCTTTTCTTTTTCATGTCAAGAGCAACTTCAGAAATTGCAAGTCGCTTCTGGTGTGAGAGAATTGGCCATCTGCAAGGATGTTGCCCAGGGGATACCTGGATGTTTTACCATCCTGTGGGTGGTTACTTTCTGGATGTTTTACCATCCTGTGGGAGGCTTCTCTCTGGATGTTTTACCACCCTGTGGGAGGCTTCTCTCTGGATGTTATACCATCCTCTGGGAGGCTTCTCCCATGTCCCCACATGGGAAGCTGAGGCTGACAGACAGGAGCTCACCCCCTCCCCAGATTTGATCTTTTGGTCAGCAGTTTAACCCATTGCGCCACCAGGGGCTCCCTGACTGTATGTTAATGAGACTGCAGGTAAGGATATATGGCAACATTTGTATATTTCCCATGTACCAGATCAGAAAGGTGTACTCATACAAGCTTTTTTAACACACACACGTGTAGAAGCAAAATGTGTTTTTGTAGAGCATTCTCTTTTGCTGGACCCTCAGAACCAAGAGTGCACAGCAATTCTGAAAAGGGGAATTCTGGACTCCCAGAATGTTTATTTCTGCTTTCCTTTATCTCCTCAATACACTCAGCTGCCTCCTCCTTCCGAAACAGACTTGGAAGTCATTTCTCTTTTCCAATTGCCTGAAAGACTGTCAGATAGGTATTCATGTGAAGCATGCCTAAACCATAGTAGTAGAAATACCAGATCCCTTGAACATTATCTTTTAAAGCTCAAGTGGATCAAGCAAGCAAATCCATCCTGATGTAAAGTGATTTTGATAATTTAAGAAATCCCCCCCCCAAAAAAGACCCCAAATCCCTTTTTCTATAGGAGAGAGAACATGAAACCCCTTGGATTTTCCAAGAAGTATAAAATCCTTCAATAGGCAAATAGACACTATAATTGTGTGTGTGTATGAAGGGGGGGGGGGGTGTTCAAAAGCCAGGCTCTCCCCCCTCCTTTGCAGGCCCTTTTCCTCTACATAAAGAGGAAATCAGGTGGTTTTAACATGTGTGTATTGCATTTCTCTGCAAATGTTTGCAATTAAACTTAATTGAATTCACTCCAGTTTGAACTGGTCCTGGAGCCAAGCGCGCCTCACACTGAATGGGGCAGTTCTACCTCTCTCTCTCTCTCTTTCTCTCTCTCCATCTCTCTCTCTCTCTCATTCTCGCCTTCCCCCCTCCCTTTTACAGGAGTTCCCTCCTCCCTTCCCCTCCCTCCCTCCCTGCCCCTTTCTCCTTCTCCCCCCTTCCTTCCCCACCCTATTAAAACAACCTCCAAGTCTCACTTGTTAAAAAGCCCCCACAGAGGCAGAGGAACCCAACAGCCCAGGGAGGAGGAAGGGAAAAAAATAAGAGAGAGAGAAAGAGAGGGAGAAGAAGGATTCCCAAGAAGAAAGGAAAAGGGGAGAAGGAAAAGATTAATAGCAAATCAAAGAAGGAGGCAAGAGGCGCCTGGAAAATATTCCCCAGCCACTGCTGCTGCAACTGCTGAAGCTGGAAAGCTCCAGATAGAAGCTCCATTCAGCTCCGACCAAAGAGAGAGAGAGAGAGAGAGCTCAGTCTTGACGGATGCTGCTCTTGCTCCGACTGCGTCCTGCTCAACTTTCTTCCAACTTCGATGCCCGGCGCCTGGAAGACTCTGCGGGCGGCAGGAAGGGGGCCGGCTTTGAAGCCCCTTTGGGACGGGAAAGCCCCTTGTTTTAAGGCCAGGAAAAGGAGGAGAGGAAGAGGGCGCACCAAGGGAGAAGGGCACTGACCCTGAGCACACATTGGGGATCCAGGTGGAGAGAAAGGCTGCGCGCCAAGGCTTCATCCTCTTCGCCCGACTCTCCTTCTTTTCCATGCTTTGGAGGCGAGGGGTCCCCAAACCTCTCCAAAAGCTGGCCCAGCCCCTCTCCCACCCCTTCCCCACCGAAGCCCCCTCGGGTTTGTGGTAGACCGTGGATGCGCTCAAGGCTAGCAAGGCGGCAAGGTGAGTGGAAGGCGAGGCAATGAATGAAATGCCATTGACGGGTCTCTCTCTCCATATTGGGGTGGCTTGTCTTTCTTTCTGAGGACATCTGGTGGGATGCCAGGAGAGCATTGCCTAGGAATAGAGATCTCTGCCCCATCTCTTTCCTGGCCGGAATCACTGGGTTGCTGTGAGTTTTCCGGGCTGCCAGAATCTCCCCTGACGTTTCTCAGGCACCCTCAGAGGTTGTGAGGTCTCAATCTGCCCCATGGAAGGGAAGCAAAGCCAGGGCAAGGGGGACCCAAATGGTCAAAGGTCTGGAAGCCAAGCTCAACGAGAAAGTGGGTAGGTTTAGCTTGGAAGAGAAGGTACAGAGGGGACATTATAGCCTTGTTTCAGTAATTTGAAAGGATGTCCTATTGAGGAGGGAGGGAGCTTGTTTCCTGCTGCTCTGGGACAAGGGGCAATCGGTTCAAGTTGCAGGAACCCATTTCCCCTAAGAATTAGGAAGAACTTCTGATGGTAAGAGTGGGTGGAATCTCCTATTCGGGAGATTTTGGAAGCAGAGGCTGGATAGCCAGCTGTGGGGAGTGCGGATGGTGTGTTCCTGCGTGGCAGAAGGGAGTTGGACTGGATGGCCCTTGGGGTTTCTTCCAGGATATGATTCTATGAAGGGGAGGATCTCTATTAAGAAGGCATGGTTCTCTCCCCCTCCCTGCTGATCCCTGTTATGATTGCATTGCTCTAAAACAGTGGTTCCCAACCATTTTTTGACCAGGGACCAGTTGACCAGGAGCCACTTTGCCTGGGGACCACTTTGCCTAGGGGCCACTTTGCCCAGGGGCCACTTTGCCTGGGGACCCTTGACCAGGGGCCACTTCACCCAGGAGCCACTTTGCCCAGGGACCTAGGGGCCACTTTGCCAAGGGGCCACTTTGCCCAGTAACCTAGGGGCCACTTTGCCCGGGGGCCACTTTGCCCAGGGGCCACTCTCCAACATTAGTACCAAAAGGGTTACAAATCAGTTTTTGGTCAACTTTAGATTCAGTTTGGTTATTTGGGGTGCTGATTCAGAAAATTGCATTGGATAGACCACATCAGCTCTACTTTCAGATACAAAACATGCTAACCAGTAGTCGCCATCTGCCACTCACAGAAAACCATATTTAATAAGCCTTGGCACTGCAAGAGGGTTTCACAAGACTAGTTGCTCTCGTTGTAGCAAAGGTGTGGCTGCAGACCATATTTTAGTTCTCAAGGACCACTGGAGGTCCACGAACCACAGGTTGGGAACCACTGCTCTAAAGAAAAAGTGGGGTGGAGGCGGATCTTGAGGATGCTCTTCCTAAACCTTCTACCTTTGTGGATTAAAGGGTCAGGACATTCGCGTCCCCAGATTTACTAAGGCCGAGATCCTGTGTGTGTTTTACACATGAGTAAGTTTACTTCAGGGATGCATCTCTATTGAAGCATGAATGTAGTTTGACCCCACTTTCACTGCCATGGAACAGTGCTATTGAATCATGGTATCTGTAGTTGCACAAGGCCTTCTCTTCCAAACGGTGCTGGTGGCAACTCCCAGGATTTCATAGCATGGAGCCATGAGGGTCAAAGTAGTATGACACTGCATGCATTTTACAGTGCAGACGCGCCCTGAGCAAACATGGCATTGGATGCTGAGTGGCGCTATCTTTCTGGCATAGTGGAAAGGCAAGGAATACAAAAGTCAAACTGTAAGAGGGGTGGGTGGGACTCCTCGTGAGAAAGTCTTGCTTGGGACCTTGAGGGGGAGTTTCTTTCCCTCCCCTGCCTCCTCCTGATTCAGCCAATACGTATGCAGCATATCTATATGTCATTTATACAACGTGTCCCCTCAATACATCCTTTTTGAGCTCTTCACGGCAGGGAGTTGGACTAGATGGCTGATGTGGTCTCTTCCAACTCCATGGATATTTAATCAGGGGCATACACTAAGGATTAATATTAAACATTCCCCTAGTATAGGGAAATTGCTAGAGAAACCTGATGTGAGGTCTACATCTCTGGCTGCACAGAGGTGACCATTTGGTATCAAAGGTGCATTTAAGATAGCTTTGCAGCTCATGACTAATGTATTGTTAAAGGCTTTCACAGCCAGAATCACTGGGTTGCTTTTAAGTTTTTTGGGCTGTCTGGCCATGTTCCAGCAGCATTCTCTCCTGATGTTTCACCTGCATCTACGGCAGGCATCCTCAGAGGACCTCACAACTCTGAGGATGCCTGCCATAGATGCAGGCGAAACATCAGGAGAGAATATTGCTGGGACATGGCCATTCAGCCTGAAAAACTTACAGCAACCCAGCTCTGGATTAGATTGTGTAACTCTGATTAAATCATCATGAGCACATTCATCCTTCAGTCGAAAAGCCTTGGCTTAGCCTTCCAATAATTAATCACCAGAGCTGCTACTAATAGGCTATGAAAGGGTAAACATACATATATGAAAAGCATATATATATATATATATATATATATATATATATATAGGCTTTTCATATATATGTATGTACGGGACATCCCTCCAAAATGTATGCATCGTCCCAGGACACACACACACACACACACACACGTATATATATATAGGCTTTTCATATATATGTGTGTACAGGACTTCCAGATTATTTATATATATATATATGCACATATATACACAACACACACACACACACACATACACACATATATGAAAAGCCTATATGTGTGTGTGTGTGTGTGTGTGTGTATGTGTATGTATATATAGGCTTTTCATATATATGTGTATACAGCACTTCCAGATATAGATATAGGCTTTTCATATATATGTGTGTACAGGACTTCCAGAAATATATGCACATATATACACAACACACACACACACACACACACATATATACATATATGAAAAGCCTATATATATGTGTGTGTGTGTGTGTAGGCTTTTCATATATATGTGTGTACAGGACTTCCAGATATATGTGTGTGTGTATATAGATAGATAGATAGATAGACAGATAGGTGCACTCTGTTTACAAGACTTCATATATATATATGAAAAGCCTATATATATATAGGCTTTTCATATATATGTGTGTACAGGACGTCCCCCCAAAATGTATGCTTCCTTCCGGGTCACACACACACACACACACACACATAGGCTTTTCATATATATGTGTGTACAGGAAGTCTATATATAGGCTTTTCATATATATGTGTGTGTACAGGATGTCCCTCCAAAATGTATGCATCCTCCTGGGTCATATATATATATTATATACACACACATATATGAAAAGCCTATAGAGAGAGAGAGGGACGTCCTGTACACACATATATATGAAAAGCCTATATATATATAGGCTTTTCATATATATATAGTGTACAGCACGCCCCCCCCCTCTCTCTATAGCCTGTCCCCCCCCCCCCTCGCCCTCCCCCCCCCCCTCCGCACCCCCACAAGACCCCCCCCCCTCTCTCTATAGGCTTTTCATATATATGTGTGTGTACAGGACGTCCCTCCGAAATGTATGCATTCTCTCAGGTCATAAAGGCGCCTCTTAGAGAGAGGAAGGCATTGATCTGTTTCCAAATTTGAGGAGGGAGGAAATCCCGGAAGGTGGGGAGAAGGGCTGCAAACACTGCCGCTATTAAGGCACATGAAACGTGACTGCACTCCACCCGCCTCCCTTCTTTCCCATTTCAGGGGGAGGAGGGGGGCGTGGCCGGGGGCGTGGCCAAGGAGCCAGCATTCCATGTATAGATGGAGTGAGCACGCGGGAAAGAGATGATGGCTCAAAGTTGGTTCTATTCCTCACTGCACGCATGCGCAGTGCCGCTGTCTCCCCTCCTGGCCTCTATGAATGGAGCTTCGAGGCGTATTGGCAGTGAAGGGAAGGGTTGCATTCATCCAACAGGGGGAAACTGGACCGGAGCCCCAATCAAAAAGTCTTACAGGGTTTCTAAACCCACGTGGCAGGGAATGCCGCCGATGAGGTCATCCCTCCCTTCGCAAGGGCCCGCCTCTTTTCGTGACGTGGCGCCGCACCCGCTCCTGATTGGCTCCCACGCCTCGGAAAGGGCTTCCCCGGCAAAAGCAGAACCAAGAGCCTGGAAGAAGCAGAGCAGCTTTGGCGGGGGCTTCTTTCTGCGCAAGCGCAAAGCCTGGCTTCAGAGGAAAGGGAGGGAATCAGAGGAAGGGTGCATCTGTAATGCAGTTTGAGACCACTTTAACTGCCATGACTCAATATTATGGAACCATGGGACTTGTAACCTTATGGAACCGTGGCACTTGTAACCTTACAAGGTCTTTGGTCTTCTCTGCTGGTGCCTTCCCAAACTACAACTCCCAGGATTCCATAGCATTGAGCCTAGGAAGTCAAAGTGATGTCAAACTGAATTAATTCTACAGTGTAGAATAGCCATATCTTCAGGGGGAAGCCGTTGACCTAATTTCACTGGGAAGTGAGTTCCACAGGTGGGGGGCCACCACCGAGAAGGCCCTGTCCTTCAGCCCCACCAAGCGCATTTGCAACAAAGGTGGGAACGAGAGCAGGGCCTCCCCAGAAGACTGTAAATTTCGAGGTGGGACGTAGGGGGAGATACGTTGGGACAAGTAAGCTGGGCCAGAACCATATAGGGCTTTATAGTCAAGACCAGCACTTTGAATTGTGCCTGGTAACAGACTGGCAGCCAGTGGAGCTTACATAACAGAGGGGTGGTATGCTCCCTGTATGTCACTCCAGTAAGTAGTCTAGCTGCTGCCTGTTAGACTAGTTGGACTTTGGCTCAATGCTGTGTAATCCTGGGAGTTGTAGTTTCACAAGGTCTTTAGGGTACACCTACAGAGTAGTATTAATGCAGTTGGATACCATTTGGACTGTCATGGCATGGCTCAATGCTATAGAATCTGAGAATTTTAGTATGGCAGAGAAGGCTAAAGACCTTTGAAAGATCTTTGAAAATCACAACTCCCAGGGTCCCATAGCATTGAGCAGTTAAAGTGA